GCGCGGCGTGTGGCTGAAGAACGGCCAGGAGGTGGTGCCCGACGGCCGCGTTAAAGTGTCCCACATCGGACGGTGAGCGGGCGACGCGGAGCGCGGGGACAGACGGGGACGGAGAGAAGGACCCGAGGCCGCGGGGCGCAGAGCGGGACAGGACAGAGCCGGGCATAGGAGCCAGGGTCCCCCGGCGCCGCTGGGCCAGGAGGAGGCTCCCGCCGACTCTCCCGCAGTCCTGGGGCCAGGCCAACCCGTTAAGGCCACCGCCCCGGGCCAGGGGACATCGGTGTAGAAACCAAGTCTATGCTGCCTCCCTGGCTGGGGGACGCAGACACAGAGAAAGGAGGCATTTCTGAAACACCAGCACCTCGGGAGGGAACAGGCAGGTCCCCATCCCCTGAGCGGTGCCGCCCTGCAGGGTCCACAAGCTGATCATCGACGATGTCACACCCGCCGACGAGGCCGACTACAGCTTCGTCCCCGAGGGCTTCGCCTGCAACCTGTCTGCCAAGCTGCACTTCATGGGTGAGCCGGGTGCCGGGAGCCCTTTGGCTGGGCCTGGCCTCCGCCCCGGTGCCACCTGCTGCCTTTCTTTTGCAGAGGTCAAGATTGACTTCGTGCCCAGACAGGGTGAGTTCCTGCCCCAGCCCTGTCCCCCACCCCACACAGGGCCCAGCTCCAGCTTCGCCATGGTGACCACGATCTTTCTGGCCTCAGTTTCCTCACCTGAGAAGTGGGGTGCTGGTAGCATGAACCCTGCTGAGGTGACGAAGCAGAAATGGTGGGCGAGAGATTAGCAATGGTGTCCCTGATGTTTTATGACTGTACTTTTGTCTTTTATTTTGCATGAGAAAGGGTCCTGCTATGTAGTTCAGGCTGGCCATGAGCTCACTGCAATCCTCCTGCGTGCTGGGATTACTGGTGTGCGTTACCATGCCTAGTTTTGGCTACACTTTTCTTCTTTTGGCAAGGTCTGTGCTGTTTCACTTGAAGCTTAGTCAGACGTTGGAGAATTCTAACTTTAGGAGAAATGTCCAGCTCATTGCTTTCCCAATTGGGTTCTCTTAACATTAAAAAGGGTTCCAAGGTGAAATAAGTTTGAGAAACACCAAACACTGTCTCCACTTCCTGTTAACTCACCTCCTATTTAAGGCTCTGAAAAATCCAATGATAAAGACATATCCTGACTCTGTGTAATCCAGGGCTTCCTAATTTGTTTGGCTGCGACCCACCCCCAACCCCATACTGGAGATTGAGCCCAGAACCTTTGCACTGAGCTACAGCCTCAGTACAATTTTTAAAACTTTTTTTATTTTGAGGTAGGGTTTTGCTGAGTTACTAATTGCCCAGGCAATTAGATCAGTTTGTGATCTTCCTGCCTCAGCCTCCCAGAGAGCTGAGATTACAGGTGTGTGCCATCACACCTGGCTTGGTCATGGAAACTGTATTTCTCTGGCAGAGTGCTGGTGTTTCCCCAGAGTTTATGAGATGAAGTACTGTACTAGGTGACCTGGATGTTAGCCTCCAGAAGAACTTCCTGGGGTGATGGAAATATTCTAGCTCTTGATCGGTCTGGTGGTTACACAGGGGTATACATTTGTCAAAACTAAAAAAAGCCCATTCAAATCTATGCATTTAGTCAGGCGTGGTGATGCATACCTGTGACCCCAGCACTCAGGAGGCTGAGGCAGGAGTGATCGCCCTGAGTTTGAGGCCAGCCTGGGCTATATAGTGAGTCCATCTCAAAACAAACCTGTGCAGCTCACTGTGTGGAAAGTGTACCTTGATGAAATGCTCCTGGTGTCCCCAAGCCCAGGGACCTCTGCTCGAGTGCCTGGCACCCCTCCTGCCCCTGACCCAAGCCCCCTGCCTGCAGAACCTCCCAAGATCCACCTGGACTGCCCGGGCCGCATGCCGGACACCATCGTGGTGGTGGCCGGGAACAAGCTGCGACTGGACGTCCCCATCTCTGGAGACCCCGCTCCCACCGTGATCTGGCAGAAGACCCTGTCCCAGGTACCAGCTCCCTCTGCGGCTCCCTGGCTGCTTCCTCCTGCACCGCACCCCACGGTGCCCACCCCGAGATCGGCCCCGCTCCCCTCTCCTCCATGCCATCCCCAGGGGAAGAAGGCCCTGGCCGCACCAGCTCCCGATGCCCCAGAGGACCCAGGTGCTGGCGCCAGTGACGAGTGGGTGTTTGACAAGAAGGTGAGGGAGCCGGTCCCCACCCCTGGTCACTTCCGCCTTTGTGGCCCTGTCCAGGGACGGACATGGTGCAGTACAAAGGGGTGACACCCTAGACACCTTGAGGCAGCTGTGGGACGGACTCGTCCTGGCTCCGTCACCTTGAGCCGACCTTGACAGGGTGGTGGTGGGAGAACGGGTTTCCCTGGCACTTTCTGGGGTTGCCCGCATCTGCCTGTCCTCTGGCACGACTAGCTCTTTGGTCTCCTGCCCACCGGAGTCCTGCTGGACCCTCGCCATAGCTCTGTGGGTCATGCTCTTCTCATTCAACAGGTAGGGAAACTGAGGCACAGGGAGGACAGGTGCTCAAGGCTCTGTGACAAAGCTGGAGGCAGGCACCCTCCCATGCAGGCACCACATGAAGGTTTTTTTGTTTTGTTTTTCCTTTTTGAGACAGGGACTCACCTTGTAGCCCAGGCTGGCCTCAGACTTGTGATCCTCCTGCCTCAGCCTCTCCAGTGCTGGGATATATTTTGAACTAGATGCTTACATGGCCCTGCCTTGCTGCCAGGTGCTGTAGAGGCGGCAGGGGCCTCTGGGGCCCAGCGTGGGTCCCATCCCCAACTCTCCCTCCCTTTCAGCTGCTGTGTGAGACCGAGGGCCGGGTCCGGGTGGAGACCACCAAAGACCGTAGCGTCTTCACTGTGGAGGGGGCAGAGAAGGAAGATGAGGGCGTCTACACTATCACAGTGAAGAACCCTGCGGGCGAGGATCAGGTCAACCTCACAGTCAAGGTCATCGGTGAGGCCATCTGGGGTCTACAGAGGGGCACGGAAAGCCCACCCATGTGCTCATTCAGTCACTCAACAAACACTCAGGGCAATGGTGCCGAATGGGACAGGCTTTTCTACCCACAAGGAGCCCCACTGTAGCAGAGGCATTTTCGTGTCTCCTGAGCAGAGGGAAGAGCTGTGTGTGTGTGTGTGAGTGTGTGGCAGCTTTAGGGGGCCGGGCGTGGCAGCGGGCCCCGGGGTGCGGGCCGGGCAGGGCTGATGTGTC